TATAAAAAAGACGGGATTTTTATTTTTATTTTTTTGAAATGTGGAACAAGTTTTGACAATTTTATTTGGATCTGAAATATGTGAATATATGTGGGATTATGGTGGGTTCATCACCATTTTTATGGGTGGAGAAGATGTCATTGGCCTTTCCGGCACCAAGTTTTGGAGAAGATGTGAGAGACTTCTTATTTTTTTTCTATTTTGCTTCATAGTTTGACTATATTATATGCTGTAAACCTTGACTTTATTTTTGCTTATACAAATGTTCATTTGACAGATTTTCAAATATCTGAAAGAGATTCAGAAAAATGACCCCGCTTTCCGCGTGGGTTTAAACAATGAAACTGGCCAGGTAAATCCGAGATATCTTTGAATGTATACCACAAAAAAAAAAAAAGGTGTTGTATTTCATTGAAATGATTTTTGTGGGAAGACTATTATATCTGGCATGGGAGAAGCCCATTTGGATGGATATGTGGAGCGCATGCGGCGGGAGTATAAGGTTTCTTCTTACACCCATTTAAGTTTTTAGCTTGGGAAAAAACAGGATTTTAATCTTAATTTTGTGTAATTTCTAGGTTGACGGAATTGGACAACCACACGTAATCTTCCGAGAAAAAATTACTAAGCATGTTCAGTTCAACTATGAACACAAGAAGCAGAGTCAATATGGAAGGGTTATTGGGTAAGTGTACATACTTTTAGCGATCTATTCTCAATTTTTCCTTTCTTTTTTTTTTTTGTATGTAGAAGAAAATTCTCTTTGCAGGTATATGGAACCACTCGACCTGGGCTCCCTAACTAAGTTTGAATTCTCGAACATGCTTGTCAGACAAGCCATACCTTCTAATTTTATGCCAGCAATTGAAAAAGGTTTTAAAGAGGCTGCCAACTCGTATGTAGCCATAATACCACATACGAAGTTCATTTTTTTTGCTATTATCCAGTATATTTACTTTTAACATGGTTGTTCTTGTTGTTACAGGGGTTCTCTTATTGGGCACCCTGTGGAAAATATCCGTATTGTCTTGACAGATGGTGCAGCGGATAGTGTGGATTCGAGTGAACATGCTTTTAAATTAACGGCCATTAATGCTTTCAGAGAGGTATTTATATAAATATATATATTTTATGTGCTTAAAAGTCAATTGATATCTTTTAGTTATTTAATGATATTATTTTTTATATATATTATGTATGATGCAGTGCTATAAATCAGCACAACCTATTATATTCGAGCCTGTTGTGTTTGTCGAGTTGGAATTCCCTACTAAATTTCTGAGCATTATGAAGGACCATATTATCAAGTCAGTATACACTGCATTTTTATGTTTCCTTGTTTTAAATGCGCATGCATGTTTTTGTTCGTGCCTTTTATCATTAAGCTCGTTAACAACATGCAGGATGAAAGGCACGATTATCGAGGAAGAGCTGAAGTCACGTAAATGTTTGATTCTTGCAAAGGTGAGTATAAACCTTTATGATTTTGTCTATTTCCTATTACTTTATCGGATTCTCATAACTTTACATTCGAACCCCAAATTTTCCAATCGTTAGGATTTTCTGTAGATCCTAATATTTGTTGGGTTATTTGTTTATCACTAAATCATTTGGTTATTTGTTCAGGTCTCTCTCAACCATATGTGTTGCTATTCTACTGCCCTCCGGTCAATGATTGAGGTTAGATGGTGAATTTGTTCCATACAGTGTTAGTTATATTAGATGAAACATACAGTAACTAACGTGAATTTCATTTCATCTAGGGCAAATGTAAGGTAAGCATGGATTATGAAGAGCACTCACAAGTTTCTGAGGACGTGTTGCGACAGTTGGTGAATGCCTACAAGGCAACCTAAGGGGATACTCTGTAATTGCTGTTAATTTTGAAACGTATTGCTTTTCATTTCATCTATTGTAATACACAGCCGTTGATTTTGAGACAGTTCTCTGTTTTGTGTCTAATGTATAAATTTTGTGGGTGTCAATAAACGGCTGTGAATTACAACAGAGAACCGTCTCAAAATCAACGGATGTGTATTACAATAGATGAAATGAACAGCAATACATTTCAAAATTAACAGCAATTACAGAGTATCCCCTTAGGTTGCCTTGTAGGCATTCACCAACTGTCGCAACACGTCCTCAGAAACTTGTGAGTGCTATTCATAATCCATACTTACCTTACATTTGCCCTAGATGAAATAAAATTCAAGTTAATTACTGTATGTTTCATCTAATATAACTAACACTGTATAGAACAAATTCACCATCTAACCTCAGTCATTGACCGGAGGGCAGTAGAATAGCAACACATATTGTTGAGAGAGACCTGAACAGATAACCAAATGATTTAGTGATAAACAAATAACCCAACAAATACTAGGATCTACAGAAAATCGTAACGATTGGAAAATTTGGGGTTCGAATGTAAAGTTATGAGAATCCAATAAAGTAACAGGAAATAGACAAAATCATAAAGGTTTATACTCACCTTTGCAAGAATCAAACATTTACGTGACTTCAGCTCTTCCTCGATAATCGTGCCTTTCATCCTGCATATTGTTAACGAGCTTAATGATAAAAGGAACGAACAAAAACATGCATGCGCATTTAAAACAAGGAAACATAATAATGCAGTGTATACTGACTTGATAATATGGTCCTTCACGATGCTCAGAAATTTAGTAGGGAATTCCAACTCGACAAACACAACAGGCTCGAATATAATAGGTTGTGCTGATTTATAGCACTGCATCATACATAATATATATAAAAAATAATATCATTAAATAACTAAAAGATATCAATTGACTTTTAAGCACATAAAATATATATATTTATATAAATACCTCTCTGAAAGCATTAATGGCCGTTAATTTAAAAGCATGTTCACTCGAATCCACACTATCCGCTGCACCATCTGTCAAGACAATACGGATATTTTCCACAGGGGTGCCCAATAAGAGAACCCCTGTAACAACAAGAACAACCATGTTAAAAGTAAATATACTGGATAATAGCAAAAAAAATGAACTTCGTATGTGGTATTATGGCTACATACGAGTTGGCAGCCTCTTTAAAACCTTTTTCAATTGCTGGCATAAAATTAGAAGGTATGGCTTGTCTAACAAGCATGTTCGAGAATTCAAACTTAGTTAGGGAGCCCAGGTCGAGTGGTTCCATATACCTGCAAAGAGAATTTTCTTCTACATACAAAAAAAAAAAAGAAAGGAAAAATTGAGAATAGATCGCTAAAAGTATGTACACTTACCCAATAACCCTTCCATATTGACTCTGCTTCTTGTGTTCATAGTCGAACTCAACACGCTTAGTAATTTTTTCTCGGAAGATTACGTGTGGTTGTCCAATTCCGTCAACCTAGAAATTACACAAAATTAAGATTAAAATCCTGTTTTTTCCCAAGCTAAAAACTTAAATGGGTGTAAGAAGAAACCTTATACTCCCGCCGCATGCGCTCCACATATCCATCCAAATGGGCTTCTCCCATGCCAGATATAATAGTGTGCCCACAAAAATCATTTCAATGAAATACAACACTTTTTTTTGTGGTATACATTCAAAGATATCTCGGATTTACCTGGCCAGTTTCATTGTTTAAACCCACACGAAAAGCGGGGTCATTTTTCTGAATCTCTTTCAGATATTTGAAAATCTGTCAAATGAACATTTGTATAAGCAGAAATAAAGTCAAGCTTTACAGCATATAATATAGTCAATATATGAAACAAAATAGAAAAAAAATAAGAAGTCTCTCACATCTTATCCAAAACTTTGTGCTGGAAAGGCCAATGACATAATTGGCTCAGGCACATTCATGGGAGTTAAAATGTATCTAAGTGACCCTGAGGTAAATGTATCCCCTAGTAACGCAAAGAAGAATAAAAATGCAATATGATTCAGGTAAACTAGCACAGGCATAACTCATTATTGACGCATTAGATTTCCCTAACACACAAACCGAGCTATAGTTAAAGCTGGTGAACAAAGTTAATGTGAAAAACTAGTGTGCTATTAATAGAACCTGAAGCACAATCTACACCAAATACAACAACTATTCGTATTGCAGCTTGTTGAATGTCCTGTAGAGAGAGAGAGAGAAAGAAGAATAAATGTTGAAACCAGGGACTAAAAGCATTACAATCACGAAATATAAAACATCAAGACCTATGACTAACCTCCAATTCTTTTGAATTCACGTGAACAAATTGAGGGACCTATAAGAAAGTAAAACAAAGTCAGGTTCATAAATTAGAATTTATATATATCATTTTCATAAAAAGCTTACCTTAATTTTCCTCCCAGCTTCCATATTAATAAAAAGATCACCTTTAGTAATGTTGCATTCATATGTTCTGCAACTAAGAAAAGAAAGAAGGACAAATCAATGAAGGGATTTGTGCATTGAAACTATAATTAGAAACTCATTTGTCCATTCCATTTACAATGAAAGAGAAGAAAGAAAGGGAGAAAAAAGGAAGATAAGAGCAAAGCACTTGACTGAATTAAGTTCAAAGAACCTCAAATATGTCAGCTGCCCATATCGGCCTTCTTCCAACTTGAATGCTAACGCAACAACCGGACGAACCTGCAGTGCAGCAGTTAAGTGATGGGATATATACATACAACCCTTAAAACTGCATACCTTTTCTTCACTCTTAGATTGGTCAACAGCATAGTTACTAACTTCAGTAGGAACGATAAATCGTTGGACTCCCTATAACCACAAAATTAGCAACGATAAATGCAACTCCAAAATAAAGAAAGAGTGTTCGGAGTACCACATAGTGCCTAAAATAAAAAACTGCCTTATTATTGAATGAACTTACCATGAACACGGGCACACACTTCAGAGATACCGTAGCTCTCTGAATAGCGTCCTCAAGTTCCGCAGCTGATACAGGGTCACCTCTACGGGATGCTTCATCAAGCTCATCATCGACCTCTGACACAGCTTTGATTAAGAGAAGCCGTTCTTTGGCCAACTCTATGATATCAGTTGGCATGTTCAGTTGCATTTTTCCCACTGGAACCATCAAAGTAGTTCATGGTGACCAGGTCAACAAGACCCCCCTTTAAGTCATCTTTTGGGCCAATTTGAATCTGGAGAGCAGCACTCTGGCATCGAAGTTTACATTCCGCCTATAGAAAGAAAAACAGAACGGGTTAGATCAGAACTGTTAATGATTTCAAGCAGCAATAAAGTATGATTGTTGTAACAAAAAAGATTTCCTAACCTGGTCGATATAAAAAATATCTGAGTTCTCATTACTCCTAATTTTTCTCTCAACAGTGATTGGGACTCTGTACACCGCCCATACATATGACAAGAATCGAGTCATCATGTAAGAGTAAATCTCTCTCGGTTTCTACTTCCATAGTGAAGGAAACGTTTCTTGATGATTCAATTATATAAACCTGAAATTGCAGTAAACATAACATCAATATTGAAGTTATTAATCGCATGGTTTTTTCCTAAATAAATGCAATTGAATTTGTTTCAAAATATCTTGAAAGTTATTAATCACATGTTTTTTCCAAAATAAATTTATTTTGAATTTTTTTTAACTAATTTAAAAAATAGTTTTATAAATTAACCTCCAAAAAAACTTGAATCACACGTCTAAAATAAGGTTGCCGATAATTTTAAAATAATATCATACCATAATGATAAGGTTTGTTTAAAGAGATAATCATAATTGAAGGAAAAAAACATAATTGATTTACTACCTAGCATGTTTATTGGATATACACCATTATATTCATGGAATTGATACTAATTCAGAGAGATAAGCTTTTTTTTTCTCAAAAGTTTCATAACTAATTTAATTTAATAAGTTAGTTATGAATCGATTCTTATGTGATATCAATAGATTTGGATTTACAAATAAAAATATCGGTATATTTAGTTAAGAAATAGAAAAAATAATCCAAAATTTTATGAAAGCTGCATATTTTGCTTACAATATAAGAAAATAATTGAATTTGAACATTTTGAAAATGTATGAGGATTTGTTTATATTTAGCCAGATCCAATGCTTCTCCATGGGTCAGATCACCCAGGAATGATGTTAGTTTCACATCCGCTTACCGGAGGTAACTTTCTTTCATGGAAGAGGTCTATGGTTATTATAGCTCTCGGAGCCAAAAATAAACTAGGTTTTGTAAATGGTGACATCGAAAAGCCTAAAGAGGGTAGTGAACATTATGCTGCTTGGAGAAAAGTGGACTGGATGGTCCTATCGTGGATATTAAATTCACTTTCAAAGGATATTGCGGAATCGTTCATTTATGCAGAGTCGTCGAAGGATTTATGGGAGGATTTATGGGAGGATATATGCCAGAGGTTTGGAAGAGGGAGAGGAATGCAATGGCAAGGTGGAAGAGGAAGAGGAGGACCTAGATTAAAGCAAGGAAGAACAATATAAGTTGATATGTGAAAAATGTGGGATGAGAGGGCACTCTGTGGGAAGCTGCTTTAGGATTCATGGAATACCAGACTGGTACAAGACATTTAAAGCTTATGCAAATTCAGCTGAGACTCTTGACAAAACTGAGCTGCAAGTTCAAGGAAGGAATTTGAATGAGGGAGTTAAAGGAGATGAGCTGTCAGCTGTTATAAAGCAACTCAATGAGCTAACACAATACATTAAAAGGAAAGAGACAGCAGAGAGTAAGATGGACTATGCACAATTTGTAAGCTTCTCTGGAGAAGATGATGAAGAAGATGTCCATTAAGCTCTTACCACTGTTGATGGAGCTGATAAAATTGAATGGATAGTTGACACCGGGGCCAGTAGACATATTTGCAACAATGCTGCACTTATGAAGAATATGGAAAAGCTCAGAAATCCAATATCCATATGTTTACCAGATGGAACTTTGAAGTCAGTGCATAGTAAGGGTGATGTGGTGATAAATGACAAATTGAAGTTGCAGGATTTGTTATATATGCCCTTGTTCAAATATAATTTGCTCTCAGTCACTCAACTGTGTGCAAATGGGAACATGAGATGGATTTTTACAAGTTCTAATTGCTACTTGGAGGATCAAATGAGCAATAAGGTTCTTGAATTTGGAAAACTATCAGGGAATCTCTATGTTCTAAGGGGAGAAGATATGCAGCTGAGTAGAAGGGAGGAGATTGCAAGTAACATATCCCTTGAAACATGGCACAGGAGGATGGGACATGCTTCCTTTTCAACACTGAAGCATGTAAGTTTTCTAAGGGATAAATGCACTAAAGAGAAAGAGAGTCTGATTCATAGCTGTGATGCCTGTTTGAAGGGAAAACAGCATAGACAACCTTTTTTGAAGAGTGATTTACAAACCAATGGGATCTTTGAGCTGGTTCACATGGACATTTGGGGACCATGTAGAGAGGAAAGTTTGACTAACACTCCTTTCTTCCTCACTCTTGTGGATGATTATAGCCGGGGCACTTGGATATATTTAATGGATCACAAATCAGAGGCTGGTAAGTTGATAAGTACATTCATCAACATGATAGAAACTCAATTTCACAGTAAAGTGAAAAGAGTTAGATCAGATAATGGAAGAGAGTTTCTTGAGAAAGGGTTAAAGGATTTCTTTTCTCACAAAGGCATTGCATGAAACAACTTGTGTCTAGTGTCTACACACCACAACAGAATGGTGTTGTGGAGAGGAAGCATAGACACCTACTTGAGGTTGCAAGGGGATTAACAGATTACCTAGTGCACTCTTGAGCCCTTGGCTGTCTTGGCAGGTGCTTTCATTATTAACAGATTACCTAGTGCACTCTTGAGCTGGGAAACCCCCTTTGAGAGGCTATACAAGAGAGTCCAGACTATGAGAGGTTGAGACCATTTGGGTGTTTAGCATACGCAGCCAACACAGTTCCAGGAAAGTCAAATTTGATCCCCGAGGAATAAGATCAGTATTTGTTGGATATGTGATTGGCAAGAAAGGGTATCAACTTTATGATTTGGAGGAGGAAAAGTTATTTACAGCTAGAGATGTATTATTCTTTGAGGAAAGTTTTCCATTTAAAAGAGAAGTATTATTTACAGCTAGAGATGTATTATTCTTTGAGGAACGTTTTCCATTTAAAAGAGAAGTATTGACTAATGATCCAGCTATTCTTGTTTCATTCTTGATGAAGATGCCACTGAAAATGAAGAGATAACTATTTCACAAGAATCTTTACCTTTGAGCAATGAGCAGGACCAACCACTTCGAAGAAGCCACAGAGTAAGAGTGCCACCTAAGTGGCATAATGACTATATCCTGGGAAATCAAACTGACAATTTGGAGTTGACAACATTGGAAAGTGGGAATTTTATGGGAAATGTGTCTCTTATTAAGGAGCCTGCACATTATGGTGAGGCTTGCAAAAATCCAGCATGGGTCGAGGCAATGAATAGAGAGTTAACTGCACTGGAAAACAACAACACATGGGTGATCACTTATCTGCCAGAAGGAAAAAAGGCTATCGGTTCTAAATGGGTGTACAAGGTGAAAAGGCAAGGCGATGGTACAGTTGAAAGGTACAAAGCCCGTTTGGTGGCAAAAGGGTACAATCAAATTGAGGGGATAGATTATTTCGATGTATTCTCACCTGTGGCAAAACTTGTCACTGTGAGAACGTTCATAGCTGTGGCCACCATGCATGCTTGGAAATTACACCAATTGGACGTGAATAATGCCTTTTTGCATGGGCATCTCTCTGAAGAGGTCTATATGGCACCACCTCAAGGATATACCAAGGCTAAACATGGTGAGGTTTGCAAGCTAATGAGAAGTTTGTATGGGCTTAAACAAGCCTCTCGAGAGTGGAACAATGAGCTGTGCAAAACCTTGTTCTCTTTTGGACTACTGCAATCCTCTCATGATAATTGTCTCTTCACTATGAGGCAAAAAGGTCAGTTTTTGGCACTCTTGGTTTATGTCGATGACATCCTGCTCACAGGATCTGATGAAACAATGATTCAAGCCTTAAAGTGCTTTCTAGATAAGGACTGATTTAAGCCAGATTTTTCCTTGGTGTTGAGATAGAAAGAACTGATTCAGGGACTTTCTTGTTCCAAAGAAAATATATCCTCGATATGTTGGAAGACATGAATATGCTGGGTTGCAAAGCAGCCTCTTCACCATTACCTCATGGGTTAAAACTGAAAAGTGATGATGGAGTTGTTTTTGAGCAGCAGGATCAGTATAGAAGGCTTATTGGCAGGTTGTTGTACTTGAACATGACATGGCCTGATGTGAGATACTCAGTTCAGCAGCTTAGTCAGTTTGTGAGTTGTCCTTACACTTCTCATTGGGAAGCAGCTTTACATATTCTGAGATATCTTCAAGGCACACCATCTCTTGGGAATTTCTTTCCACAGAATGGACACTTCACCATCACTAATGGACACTTCACCATCACTAATGGACACTTCACCATCACTTCCTATAGTGATGCCGATTGGGCTTCGTGTCAGGATACTAGAAGGTCAATCACTGGGTATTGTGTGTTTATGGGAGATTGTTTGATATCTTGGAAGAGCAAGAAACAGCAGACTATTTCTAAGTCCTCTGCCGAGGCTGAGTATAGGGCAATGAATGCCTTGGTTTCAGAACTGGTTTGGATATCCTTTGTTGCTAAGGATCTTGGTCTAGCATTGCAGGAGCCTTTTCCTTTATGGTGCGACAATCGTGCAGCCCTACACATCACGGCTAATCCGGTTTTCCACGAAAGAACAAAGCACTTGGAGATTGATTGCCATTTTGTTCGGGACAAATTTAAGGCAGGTTTTGTTCTTCCATTGTTTGTGAGTTCGAGGCTGAAGCTTGCTGATGTTTTCACGAAGATACTTACAGGAGGGATTTTCAAGAATTTGCTGTTCAAGTTGGGCATGAGATCGAGCTCCCTAGGCCCAACTTGAGGGGGGCTGTTGGAATCTATCTTTCTTTATATTAGGAGATGGTTATTTTCTGTTTGTTTTGGTTTTAGCTTGGCTAAGCTCTAAGTCGCTTTCACGTTTTCTCTCATTTTCTTGTTGCGTTTCTTTTAGTTACTGGGATAGGAAAAACGATGTCGTTTTTCGGTCTATGCATATGACTATGTACGTAAATTATAAAAAGGAGATTTGACTCCTGGTTCTTCATATTGAGAAATGTATGAAAAAGGGATTTTACCCAAAATTCGATTTTGGTAGATTTAATCAGAACTTACCAAAATCTTTTCAAAATTTTGGTAAAGAAATACATACAAATCCACAAAAATCGGTACATTCAAATTTAAAAAGTTGCACACCATTTTTTCTTACACGTTTATTTAATTGATTTGAATTTGATTTCCTAATAATTGGATACGCCTTGACATTAAACATATTCAACAACAACAACAACAACAACAACAACATACCCAGTATATTCCCAACAGGTTGGGGTATGGGGGGTCAGTTGTACGCAGACCTTACCCTTGTAATTATACAAGGAGGCTGTTTCCGTAGCGACCCAAGGTGCATTGCGCCGTTTGATATATTTTTTTTTCTAGAAACTTCACTAATAGAAGAAGCACTAGAATTTAATTGAGTCATTTTGATCTAGTCCATTATTAGCACTATGCCAGGAGAATTGTCAACAATGACTCTTCCAGCTCCATTTGCAATGGACAAAATCAACATCAACATCAAATTCGGAATCGGTTTTTGTTACGAGAAAAGGTGAATACAGAAACGATTACCTCAAAGTTCTTCCACCAGGTGGCAGCAGGCTTCTTCATCTCAAAATCAATGAATTCCTCGTACTTCCATTGCATTTTAATAGCTTTTGTCGAACGATTTCCCGTGTAGGAGTTTTAACTCCTTCCTTGCATCCCCCACAAATATAAGAGCTTCGTTGTCTCTTGTTACCAACTGTAATTTCTCCAACGCACAGTGTGTACACCTGTCTTTCAAACTGGTCAATGCAATGCTCGACAGCGTCTTCCAATTGTTGATTAATTGACGGATATTTTTGCTGTAACCACGACAGATCTCATCGTGGTGTTTGGCTCTCACCGGCTCCAGGCGGTCCGCGCAATGTCGCTGGACTTGTTCAAATCGAGCACTCTCGGGGAAGAAAATTAACAATTGCAAAATTGCGCGTGCGATCTTTTTCTCCGAGTAGCTGTTGTTGGCAATCTTTTGCTCTGTGCATTCTTCTCCAAGTCTGACTATTGCATCTTTTAAAGTGGAGCTGCTGATTGGTATGTCGGCTATGTTCTCTTTAAAGCCCCCTTTACTGAGAAGTTCGCCGTAGTTACCAAGGACGTAAATTCGATCAGCTTTTCCCCGGGGGAAAACCCATTTGTCCTCTAATGACGACACGATTTGTTTCCATTTTCTATGTCCTATTGGTTTGAACGCAACCAGGTACAAATCGAAGTCTCTGAACATCATGTTAAAAGGTTTTCCGCACGGCATAAGAACCACCACTTCACGAAACGTAGCCTCATTTGGCAACAAGTTGACACTATTCATTGTTCCAACTGATAGTTTCTCACGCCAACCGGCATGGAAACTTGTGAACGTTTCCCTTCTCCAATTTAAGAATTGCACTATCTTTCTCTTCAGAGTGAAACTCATAGTTTCTGTGTAAGCAAGGCAATGCTTTCAGAAGCCACTGAGAAAGTATGGAAATAAATTTTTGCTCATGAGAAAGAGATTTACCTCGACGTGGTGGAGGCTAGGCGGAGCTCCGGAGGCTAGGCGCCTAGGCGGAGAGGTGCGTGGAGGCGAGGAGCTGCCGAGCTGGGGATTTAGAGTACCGAGAGCCGAGGGGAGCAGGGACTTTGAAGGTGGCAGAGTCGAAGAGCGGGGAACCGGAGTGACGACGAGATGCGAGAGCCGAGGAGGAATCGCTTATGTTGGGAGAAGCAGGTGGTGGTGAGGAGGCCGAGGTGGAGCCGTGGAGCGGCGGAGTGCCTACTGATTCAAAATATTCTTTACTAGGCGCACTAGGGTAAAAATTAGACAGGTGTGAGATGATACAGTGATATCGCAAATACTTAGGTGTGCCTGCCACACCTAGTGTGAAATGCACTCTCTTTTAAAATCGCTTGAGATAAGGTATTAAGGTATGTAATTTTTTTTTATTTTTTTTTGTTTAAAAAAGATAAGTGTTCAATATATATTGGATAATAAATTTTACATTTCATATTATATAAATTAAATTATTATTCACATATATAATTAAAAAAATAAAAATAAAAATACCAAAATTCATAATTTTTCAATCTCTACAAATAGACACCACATTTGATAAGTTTTGGAATACAATTAATTTATCATTTTTTATAATTAAATTATCTTTTTGGAAGGTGATGACACAAATATATAATAAGATGAACATGTTACATACTAAGATGCGCATGTTATATAGTAAAATGAACATGTTATAAAATAAGATGAAAATGTTATAATTTTACAGATGGAATTTAGATGAACATTTTATACAATAAGATGAACATGTTACATAATAAGATGAACATGTTATAGAATAAGATGAATATGTTACATATTTACACAATAAGATGAACATATGAACATGTTATAAAATAAGATGAACATATGAACATGTTATATAGTAAGATGAACATATGAACATTGGAACACAATTAATTTATCATTTTTTACAATTAATTTATCTTATTGGAAGATTATGACGCAAATATATAATTAGATAAATATGTTACATAGTAAGATTAACATGTTATAGAGTAAGATGAACATGTCATAGAATAAGATGAAAAATGTTACATTTTTCAGAGATGAAATTTAGATGAACATGTTACATAATAAAATGAACATGTAATAGAATAAGATGAACATGTTTAGATTCCATATCTACATCACGGGCTCTCACATTATTTTCTCCAATTTCCACTTCATATATAAAATTCTGGTCAATTTCTTGCTCGACTTTCACTCGTTTAATGCAAGCATCTCCGCCCTGAAATAATAAACCATAATCTACAGATAAGAACTCAAATTTATGCAATAGTCATACTATAGGGAACGAAAGTGAAAAACTAGTAGAATGTAAAAGAAATTCCATAAATTAGTCTTTCGATCGAATATCCTCCACCTTCACAAACCAAAATCCTCTCTAATAAGATGAAAATGTTACATTTTTCACATATGAAATTTAGATGAACATGTTATAAAATAAGATGAACATGTTACATAATAAAATGAACATGTTATAGGATAAGTTGAACATGTTACATAATAAAATGAACATGTTATAGAATAAGATGAACATGTTACATAATAAAATAAACATGTTATAGAATAAGATGAACATGTTTAGATTTCATATCTACATCACGGGCTCTCACATTATTTTCTCCAATTTCCACTTCATACACAAAATTCTGGTCAATTTCTTGCTCGACTTTCACTCGTTTAATGCAAGCACCCCCGCCCTGAAATAATAAACCATAATCTACATATAAGAACTCAAATTTATGCAATAGTCATACTATAGGGAATGAAAGTGAAAAACTAGTAGAATGTAAAAGAAATTTCATAAATTAGTCTTTCGATCGAATATCCTCCACCTTCACAAACCAAAATCCTCTCTAATAAGATGAAAATGTTACCTTTTCACAGATGAAAATTAGATGAACATGTTATAGAATAAAATGAACATATTACATAATAAAATGAACATGTTATAGAATAAGATGAACATGTTACATAATAAAATGAACATGTTATAGAATAAAATGAACATGTTACATACACAATAAGGTGAACATGTTACCAAAAAACGAAAATTAGTTGTGTTCAAAAACCTATCAAATGTAGTCTCTATTTATAGATAATGAAAAATTATGAATTTTGGTATTTTTATTTTATTTTTTTAATATAAATAATTAATGATATTTTAATTTATGTAATATGTCTCATTTTTTCATTAAAAAAGAAAAATTAGGAGAGTGCACTACACCTTCTAAATTTTCTAGCTTTTTGAGAGTGAGGGGCGCGTGTAATACTGCCCTGGCACACCTAGCTAGGTGTGCTAGGGCACACGGTAGTGGTACTGCTCTATCTATTCTCCTACTCACCACATTTTCCAACTCAATTAAATATGCTTTCACCAAAAAAATTTAGGCTGACCACGTGGCACCCCATGAAGCCCCTCAACTGCCCTTTATTAAGATGTAGAGGGAGGTAGATATAGATCGAGGGCCACTTTTAATTTCTACCCTACATATGAATCAATTTGTAATATAATATATGTCTCGATGCATACATGAATTATATTAAAATAATAATTATAAATGAACACTATCATTATAAAATTAGTACGGTATCCGTGCGATGCACGAGAACATTTATTACCTATTTATTTATTAAAATGTATTTTGTATTTAAATTTTCTCATGCCATTAAAAATTTCATCAAAATGAACTTTGTATGTTATTAAACACTTCTTTATTGATTTGATTTGATTCTTTGGTTAACAAATTTTAAAAAAATTAAAGGATCTTATTTATTAAACAAAATTAAAGTAGAAAAAAAGTAAAATTTTTTAAGAACTTTCACCCATTATTTATTTTAAATCTAATTCTAAACTTTAATTAAGAAAAATTAAAAAGAATCATTAGTTACTCTTAGAAATGAAACCTATTTTCCTACCCCTGAGCCGAGAGCTTGCTTTACCGAGAACTAGGCTTTTGCTTCGCTTCATCAGATGGGCGAGACCTAAACTATAGAGTAGAAGAAGGCTGTTTCATAACTGTTATTTATAGACGGATTGATTGGCGTGCGCTCCTGCTTTAAGAAAGCCATTGAGAAAGAATAGCCAGTGGACCCCAAAGGTGTATGGTATTGTTCTCCATAAAACCTCATCTTTTCAAACATGGTCACCTGACCATTGGAAAGGGTGGTCTAATCATCCTTTTATCGAACGTTCCTGGACATTCATTCAAATCTGGCACAAAGCACTCATACGCGTGTTTGCCAATAAACCGATTTTTTATCAAACAAATTGATCCGAATATTTTTTAAACCAATAAAAAAATCATCAATTTTTCCTAAAAAATGCAACTAAATTTTTCTAACATTGCACCGATTTTTGTACTAAATAAATTGAATTGAAAATAATTCTAATAAAAAATTGAAATAAATTGTTAATGTTTATGCAATTGTCTCTCTCCTAAAGAAAATTATATGAACTTAACAAAAAAAAATGATATAATGTCAAAAAAATATAAGAATCCAAAAAAAAAAATCGATGCATTTAAAAAGTTGCACACATTTTTTCCTAAATAATTGGATAAAATAACTTTAAATATCAATGATGAACCGTTTTTGTTACCAAAAAATGTGAACACAATTTTGAATGTACCTCCAATCCAAATATCTATTTTATTTAAAAATAAAATTTGCACGTGGTTTTATCCAATTTACACAAATTTTTTGAAAGAAAAAATTATTCAATAAGATTGGAAGAATTGGTTAACAATTATACAACTATTTGCATCCTAAATTTGTATCCAATTTGTACGGTTTTTAGATTAATTTGTATTTAGAATTATTTTCATAAATAATTGACACATTTTTTGCATAAGAATCTCCAAATTTGTTACAGAAAAAGATATGATTTAAATTTTGGTCAAAGAATAAAATATGATACGAAAAAATGGGATTCAAATTTTGCCATAAAAATCTCTAAATTTATTACCAAAAAAATAGGATTTAAATTTTGTTATTATAGATTCACATGTGTTTTTTCAAACTTTCCATTAATAGTAAGTCAAATATTATATTTATTTGGTTAAACTTTCTATTAATGTATTTTTTCAACAACCTCTTTATATATATATAGATATAGATATAGATATAGATATAGATATGTGAAGTTAATTGTATATCATGAAATAAAATAAAAGTATAAATCGTCGAGAAAATATATTGTTGTCTTACTGTGTATAATGATGTATATTTCTCAATATATATGTATGTATATATATATATATATATATATATGTGTGTGTGGTTCATGGTCAATATTTAAGTTCTTGTGTGAGATGCATATGTTAGGAGATTGCCTATTTTTTATTTTTATTTTTATAAATTTGCATATTTATATTATAAAATGTAAATTTTTATTTTTAAAATAAATATGTATCGTTTACTATTGCAAGTTGAATGTGTAATAACTGAAGTTTATTAGTGGTGAGACATATATATCACCATTATTTCCTTTTTATGAGGAAATTACGCCACGCACCACCCCACAATAACTTATTTGCGCTATTATGAGGTAATAAAAACATTTAGCAAATCTACCAAATCTTATATTTTTAATTGCAAACAGATAATAATTCTATTATTCAACATAAATAAGGTTATTGGGATATTCTTAAAATTAGGGAAAAACGTATCCAACAACTCTCTCTCTCTCTAACAGATATTATGATAGCAAAGACCCTCCGCCGATGACTCTCACCCTCACCTTCTTCCTCCTCATCTTTCATTGCCTGCCTCCGCCTCCCACGAAGAGGTCCGATCAATCCTCGAGTTCAGAAAAAGCATCAAATCCGACCCTTCCGACCTCGTCTTCTCCTCTTGGGTGCGCCCCGCCTCTGCCTCCGCCTGCTATGACAACTTATACGACGTTGTCTGCTACACAGTCGTCAGCCGCCTCCGCCGTGATTGTCGTCGCTCTCGACGGCCTCGGCCTCACCTGTGAACTGAAATTTTGGATCCCTGCTCGCAGATCCGTCATGTCCACTGACAGAGTTTGTCCAAGACGACGTGAGGAGACGAATGGCGATCGTAACCTGGGGCGTCAGAGGTGGATGGGGAAGGGCGATCCGTCATCTCCCTGCTCGCGATTGTCATCTCCACTGACAGAGTTTGTCCAAAATCATTTTTTTTTTCTTTGTAAAATTTCACGACATCGGTTTTTCCGGTATATTTTCGGTAAAATCATAATCATGTACAATTGAATGAATGTTAAAATCACACAATATACCTCACGTTTATCGTCCTATCACGTTTTTTTGCAGTATATATTATATCGTGTTTGTATCGTTTCCTCGTTATATGTATGATTTATATTCAGTATATTTTTTCCCCCAATCTCATTACGGGTTGCGTATATGATGGTATATTTTCCCTCAATCTCAACTTGTTTTTCTTTTTTCTTTTGTGGTTATTTGCGTAACTTTTTTCATAATAAAATTCAAAAACATTTTTTAGCAAATAGACTCAAATCACGAGCAGAAGAAGGGAGAGAAAGTTGAATTGATATGGTAACTGAATCAGGCAGATTAAATACATGTGGAGAGTTGTTAGAATTAATTGGTAACTGTCATTATGTAATAACTAGTGTGTAGCCCGTGCGATGCACGAAAAACAACATTAAATAGTAATTATAAATAGGACTCGAGTTTGAGTCACTCAATGGAAGAAGTGCGAATTACTATTGATCCTCTTTAAAAAAGTGAAAGAAAAAATAATACTTGTAAATTAAAGATGTAGATAAACAATATTAAATAATAAATATAAATTAAAGATGTGAGGTCAAACAATGTAAAATTATCATGTCTAAAATACTTGAATTTAACCTCCATACATGTGTAGGGAGAGAGAGAGAGAGAGAGAGAGAGAGAGAGAGAGAGAGAGAGAGGAAATGTGTAAACAAATTGTACAAATAATGTTTAAAAGTATCTAAAATATTATTTGCTAATAATATTTTAAAAAATTTTTAAAAGTTAGACAGGTAAAAATTAGCTTTTTAAAAAAATCTTGATTTAGATAATAGATTTACCATAGTAATTACAAATTAGACATTAAAGTGAATTAGTTTTTTATTTTATTTTATTTTATTTTTTAATAGGATAGATAAGGGATGAGATTTTTTAAACTCGTTATGTGATAAATTTTGTAAGCTAACAATGAGTTATTTTAAAAAAAAAGAGTTTTTAAAAATTGAAAAGTCAAGGCATACAGTTCAGATTAATTAAATATCAAAGAATATCCGCTCCTTGAAATAAAGACGTGTGCTATCATTAACCAAATATCCGGTTATTGATATAGAGTGGTTACCAAAAAATAGAACGCGATAAGGACGCTTCATGGAAATATCAATGGGATAAGGTCATAACAGATCGTTATACATTTTAACAATAAAAGTTCCGATAGAATAATTTAATTAGATGTGTGAAAAGAACATAATTAATGAGAAGTGTGAAAAAGACATAATTAATGAGAAGTGTGAAAAGGACAAAAACTTACCGATTTTAGAAAATATTTAATGCAAATCCGACATTGACTATAATTTGACCTACTATTTTGGATAAATGTTAATTCTTACTATATAAGTATAGATGTAGATAAATATTATCTTTTAGGTAAAGTCACAATTAATTGCATGTGTGTGGTAAAGTTGTAATTTTTTTAGAAACGTGTAGGAGGGATGAAATTCCTTTATTTTTTTTGGCCTTACTTTTAATATTTTCATGCTACGCCATGAAAAAAAAAAAATGAATGCTACATAAAAAATTCGAATGTGCAAGAGAAACTATCAAATAGAAAATTTACATGAGATTGAACAAAAATTAGAAATAATACGAATTTTCCAAAAATCCCAAAAGAGACCAACTATAAAACAAATTCAAGCCAAACTTATATGGTCTGCATTGGCAAGAATTGTCTCAATCAGGCTTTCGCAATCGGGGCTTGAGATGTATTCTTATCACTATGGCACAAAAAGTCCCACAGCTGATAACACATTATCCCGTTTGCCTGCAGACCAGAAATTATGCAAACAGAAAACTGGATAACTCAGACAAGATCGATACCAGCAACAAATTTTATTTCGAAAACACCGTAGTAAACTTTCTCCCCTTACCCGGAGATCACCTCAGCGAACCACTCTGCAACCTCTCCAGAATCGAGTAAGTAATCGAGTCCGGAGTCAAACCCTGCTCCTTCAGCTTCTGGTACATATCAACAGCCTCCGAACATCTCCCCTGCAATCATCTCATCAAACAAGCTACACGCCATCTCAACCTTATCCGTCTTCCCAAAACACTCTATCAGCGTGTTGTAAGTCACCACATCTGGATCCAAACCCTTTTCCCGCATCTTCTTAAACTTCACGTGGGCCTCGTCAAGATCCCCGTTTTTCCCCAAGCAATTAATCAGCGAATTATACAAAACAACATCCGGCTTGCACTCGCTAACCTTGAGCTATTCGAAAACCCGAAGATTCGAAATCAGAATATTGTAGGTGAAAATGTCGGGCGTGGGGCCCACGCGCTTCATCTTCTCGTACAGGTCTAAGAGGTGGGGTACCTCTTTCGATTTGCCAAGAGCCGAGAAGACCATGTTGTACATCAGAGTATCGGTTGTGATTCCCTTCTCGTGCGTTTTGTCCAACATATCTATGGCCTCCACGAATTTACCCGTGCTGCATAAGGTCTCCAGAATGGATACATACGCGTCTCTATCTCCTTTACTGTGGAAACTCCACATGTTGCAGAATAATCTATGAGCTTCAGCTGCATGGCCTAATTTGCTGAGTGTTCGGACAAGGTACGTGATTTGTTTATGTATTTATTGGATATTTTGACGACACTGAGGACGAGACTGTACGTGAACTCGTTTGGCCTGCAATTGTCTTCCACCATCTTGGAGAAAAGGGCCATTGTTTTGTCGGCCATTCGGGCCCTAACCAAGGCCTCGATCATAGTACTGTAAGCCATGGAATTAGGTTTGATGCCCTTCGAGAGCATCTCTAGTGCCTCTTTGGGCTTTCCCAGCTTCCCGGTCATCCTTATGAGAATGGTGTACGTTTACTCGTCCGGCTTGCAATGCCTTCTTTTCTTATCATCAAACACTTGGTGGACCCGATCAACCTGCCAAGATTCTGCAGCATATCAGCTCATTAGATTCTACATTCTAGAGACCGTATTTAACAAAATGTATAACAATGCTCAAATTCGATTGCAAGACGATATGTAACAAAATGTGTAACAATGTTCAAATTCGACTGCAATCACATAGCTTCCCGCCTCGGATCAAAGATTATCTTTTTAGAGAAAATCGTCAACCTTCATAAATCAGCTAAATCAGCACATTGCCATCAAAATTCATGTATTCTCGATGAACAAAAAGAAAAAGTACTAGGAAGCCAATCATCATAATATGAAGCCCTGATAATTGAAAGGGGAAAAAGCAGACCTGTTCATCTTTAGCAAGGCCGTGTAGCAGCATGTTGTACCCGAAGCTATCCAGCTTGCACCCTTTCCTCCACATTTCTCTGTAGACCTGCAACGCACGGTTCAGATCGTACGCTCTCAGGTAGGCCTGCAGAAGGCACCTGTACGTATAGCAAGTCAAGTAGTCAACTGCAACTCCCATTTCTTCACCAGATTCAAGCATGTTTCCAGCCCATCGACGCCATCAAAAGCCCCAATCAGGATATTAACGGTGGAGATGTTGCCGGCGGTCCCTGATTTTTCCATCCTATTGATTACCTCTTTCATTTTGTCGACCCTTGATAGGTCGAAAAATGTTCACGTTTTATATATTTAACAGTATATTTTTATACACCTAATTTATTTGTACGTTTATATTTTTCGATTTATTTATTATTTAGATTGATTTATTTGCTTTGATGTTCATTGGAGTGTTATGTGATGTGCAGCACTGGACGAAAATTCAAGTGATCAGTTATCGGACCAATACCCATCAATCCAGGCCACAGTGCAGTAAAATTAAGGCCCACTACTAGCAGCCACTTATTACGATGTTGGGTAAGAGAGAAAATAAAATGGGCTTCACAACATATGTATTTGCGTGGGCCCAAGATGATAATTTCCTTCCAATTCCTATGCCTTGGGAGTGAATCATTCACGCAAGCAAGCAGCCACCAAAGGAATCTATATCTATATTTATATCTATATAAAGAGGTTGTTGGAAAAATACATTAATAGAAAGTTTGACCAAATAAATATAATATTTGACTTACTATTAATAAAAAGTTCCAAAAAACACATGTAAATCTTTAGAAACAAAATCTGAATCCTATTTTTTCGGTAACAAATTTGGAGATTCTTATGGCAAAATTTGAATCCCATTTTTTTGTATCATATTTTATTTTTTTACCAAAATTTAAATCATATCTTTTTGGTAACAAATTTGAGATTCTTATGCAAAAAATATGTCAATTATTTATGAAAACAATTCTAAATACAAATCAATTTAAAAACCGTGCAAATTGGATACAAATTTACGAAACAAATAGTTGTATAGTTTCTAACCAATTATTTCAATCTTAATTAATAATTTCTTCTTTCAAAAAAAGTGTGTAAATTGGTTAAAACTACGTGCAATTTTTATTTTAAAATAAAACTGATATTTGGACGGGATGTACATTCAAAATTGTGCCCACATTTTTTGGTAACAAAAGCGGTTCATCTTTTAAAATAATTAATTGCACACCATATTTAGAAAGTTTTAGATATTTTAAATCATAAAATAGGGTAGCATTAAATGCCCCTAAAATTATGAGTTTTGTTGAATTCATTTTTGAAAATTTCGACAGATATTAAAGTGAATATGAAATTCAAAATCTCTTCTCATTTTATTTTTAATAAAATCTGCATCCAAATATACGTGTGGTTTTGAAGTGAAAATTTGAAATTCAAAATCTCTTCTCATTTTAATTACAAGAAAATAGGACTGCATTCAACACTTGGACCAATTTAAAAATTATTCCTTAAATGAAGGAATTTATAGATAATTGTTATCTATACTCAATCACATGATTATTTTCAATATAAAAAGAGTCAGATTATAAATTAGTGAATCATATATTACCTAATTCAATATCTTAATATTAAGAAATAAATCCATAGTATTATGTAAATCCATATTTCATATTATTATATCATTAAGAATATATTATAGTTATATTATCAAATCTTTTAAAGATATTAAATCCATATTGTAAAAAAAATTATTCATATAATTTTATAACAATTCTACTACACTATTTAACAATATTCATTTTTATTATATAATAAAATAAGAATTAAATATTATATACTGAACAATAATAAGTAAAACTGTTACTTTCTCTTATATCAAAGGATAAATTTATATGCTAAAATTAAATTTTTATTAGTATAAATATTTTAGTGAGATAATATATTAATTACAAGCTAGCTTTAACATGCTCGTGTTAAATGTTCTCGCTAAAAAAAAAACAACGCAAAGATGTAGAAAAAAAACTTATAATAACCCTATCGTTTTTTAGACTTAACGTTGATTAAAAGATGTAGAAAATAGATAATAACCCTATTATTTTTAGACTTAAACGGACAAGAATGTGAAAATAATTCATTTAATATCTTTGTCCCGTTAAGGGTGTGAAAATAATTCATTTAATATCTTTATCCCATGCATCGCACGAGGTACGTACTAGTTAAAAAGAAACAGAGAGTGAAAGGAATTATTTAAGCCATCAGGAATTAATTCACGCAAGAGAATTGGGAGCCGCCAATCATACACAGGGAAGAGAAAAAAGAGAACGCAGAGCCGCACGGACAGAAGAAAAGGCGGACAGACGAGGTGAACCCGATCAATCGCGGAGGGAGGCTGCACACGTACACGAGGGTGATAATTAATCTCTCTCTTTTATCTTTCTTTTATTTTTATTTATTATGTTAGACTAGGTTTTTATTTCTAGTTCCGGGAAAGTCGAACCCTACCGATTGACTATGTTTGATTGATTTATATGGTTGAGGATTTTAATATCTTTTTGGAATTGCTTGTGTTATTTTGAATAATTCACCATGATGTGTTAGTCTTGTTTAGATTGATCACCTAGATTAGGCTTTTCATATCTACATCTGAGTTAGACCTGCAATCCGTAATTGTTGTTGTGTTTAATTCATAAGAGGTAACCGGAAGACGGTAACTACCGGGGATAACACGGCCTATTTAAGTGAGCGAACGCGGTTGAGTTCACTACTTAGTCTAGCCTATTTTTTTAATTCGTAAAGCGGCTAATTGTATTAAATCTTGAAAACGTTTTTCTGGACTGTACAAGAAGTCAGGTTTAATCGTAGAGCGTCTCGCGGTTAAATTAAAATTAAGGAAAAATTCGGGTAACAAACTGTGTCGTTGCCTAGGGCTAGTAATTTCATGAGATAACGTGATTTGATACTAAAGTTGATTAGACGAGTCGGTCGAGGGCGTAGACAGAACCGTGAACTAGAAAGTTCTCTTAATTTATTTATTTTTATTTTTATTATATTGGTTTAGATTTTATTTATTTTAGTTAGTTTAGCTATTAAATCACAATCCCCCCCTTTTATTGCTTTTTATAATTTCAATTAATACGAGAAAATTCACAATTTGATTCACGCTCATCGTGGGATCGATCCTTGCTTGCCACTACTACTAGTTAGTAGAGGTTAGCCGAGGAAAAATATAAATTTTAATTTTTTCGCGTTGCGACGCGCGGTCAACCCTGTCGGGGAGATACGATTTCGAGAGGATGAGCAGGATGCGATTGTAGGTGAAGTGGTGCAGCGTAGCCATTGAACAAACGCAAATGAACTTTTCTGTCTTATTCTCTTCCCATCATCACACCAGATTACAACCATAAATATCAGATAAAGAAGGGTAGTTTATATATATAAAAATAATAAGAAAAATAACTGGACAAAAATAAAAAGAAACAAAAAATTGTGGACAAAAATAAAAAGCACGTATTCTCATAATACGTTTTTTTAATTAATTTTTTTTTGTAAAAAGTATTATGGTAATACGTTTTAAAATTATATTTGTAAAATGTTATTTTTTAAAATAATTGAAAAAACAGTATAAAACGTATTTAGAAAATATGTTTTATAAAAAAAAAAATAAATAAAACGTATTTTGATAATACGTTTAATAATTAATTAAGAATATTTAGTAAATAACTAATAAATAAAAAGTATTATCATAATATATTTTATAAATAATTAAAAAATAAAAGGTATTTGATAATACGTTTTATATTTTAAAATTAATGAAAATAAAAATTAATATGTAGTATGTATTTTGTGTTTTGGACTCGTTTTGGCTCGTCTGAACTCGGAATTGAGTTCCGTTTTTTCCTATGCGTAGCTTACGAACCCCTCTATTCAATGATGATTGCATGGCCAAATTATTCTTGAAATTATATTCTCCCGAAGCTCTTGACCGATACATTAAATGTGTTTCGCGCGGCTTTTCTTTTTGGGCCCTTTCGGGCTCGTCCAGGCTCGAAATTGATTTCCGATTCTTCCTATATGTCGCCAAGGAACCACTCTACACAACCATTATTGCCTGGTCAATTTTTGGGCTAAATCTATTTATCACGGGCTAAATATTTAACAAATCACCTTATATAATAGATGGTCCATAGAGGATTTGTTAATAGGTGATTTGTTAATTATTTAGCCCCGTGAGGAATATATTAAGTCCAAAAATTGACCGGGCAATCATGGTTGTGTAAGCGGGTTCGTTGGCAACATATAGGAAGAAACGAAACTCAACTACAAGGTTGGACGAGTCCGAACGGGCCCAAAAAATAAAGTCGCACGAAATACGTTTAATGTGTAAGTCAAAAGCTTTGAGAGAATATGATTTCAAGAATAATTTGGCCATGTATGCATTATTGAATAGAGGGGTTCGTTAGCTACGTATAGAAAAAAACGGAACTCAATTCCGAGCTTAGACGAGTCCGAACGGGCGTTGTTGTCCTCTTGGTGGAGGTAGAAGACGTCATGACCACGAA